TGCGACCATATATAGCCATAAAACCGTCAGGTTTTTTAAATTTAAATTTTAGTTTATTTTTTATATTTGGCATTAAACAGGATATATATCTGGATTGACTCAGGCCAATTTTTTAAAATTTCATACCTTTTAGTTTTAATTTAAAATACCTAGACGAGTTGTAATAAAAAATATAATAATAAAAGTGTATATATATATATATATATATATATATATATATATATATATATATATATTAGAAGCATTAGTTAATATTAGTAAAATATATATATATATATATATATATATATATATATATATATATATATATATATATAGATATATATATATATATATTTTACTAATATTAAGTAATACTTCTGTATATTTATATATAGGTTCATATATTGTCCTAAGGATAGAAGAGTATATAGCAACCCAATATAATTGGGCAGCAATCCTTTATATTTTATATTTTATGAAAATAAAGTGTTTCCCTCTTCTAGTCATATGTAAAATGTTTCTTCCTTTATTAAAACTTGCCTTCATTGCCTTCATGGTCATATATTACTCCTATGTTTCTTTAATTAATATTTTATATCTCTAAATGAGATTATATATATTTTTATAACTTTAAAAAAGATGCCAACATTCATTTAATGAACTAAATTAGTCATAAGAACTATTTTTGTTAACACAAAACTATTAAGATAAAAAAAAATACATCTATATTAAATTTTCTATTTCTTCTGAATTTAATAGTGTTTTAGTTTATAAATACCCAATAAGACAAATATAAAACTATTTTCATTCTAATGTTATCCAATTAAATTACGTAGGCGATCTTTTAAAAAAAAATCACATTATTTATAAAATTGGTGAAGAAATATTTGACTGCAGATAAAATTTTTGGGAAAAACACAAATAAAAAAAAAACCTTTATTTTATTTTGTGTGATATTCTGGCTTAATTTTCAGACCTTTATCAGTGCTGAGGAAAGACCTGATAACAACCAAAAAATTATTAAACAACTGCTGTAGAAATACTTGAGAATAAAAAAGATGTTATCTGCAAATAAATAAATTCTTACAAATAAATAAAAAATAAGTATTGTATATAATGGTAAGATATGAAAATATAAACGAAATATAATGATAGGTAGTATACTTTTTAATTTTAATATGAGATGATAATGGATTGTGCGATATAATACGAAAGATATGTTTTAATAAATTGTAATAGTATATGCGAGCAGTTAAAAAAATTAATAACTAATATGGAAAATTTATCAGGAAGTTATGAAGTAACGGTAAAACGTTGCAAAGTAACAGTAATGAATTAATGAAATAACGAAATCTTCATTGTAAAAGATATATCAATTTTTTATATACCACATATTTTTGATACATTAGTTGTTATTTTTAATATTTTTTTACTGCTCATATACTCTACTCTAGTTTATTAAAAAATATTTTTCACATTGCATCATAAAATTCATTAATTTCTCATATTAAATTTAAAAAAAAAAACATTCTACTCATCGTTATATTTCCATACTTGACCGTTTCATACACTACTTTATTTATTTCTTCTTAGAATTTATTTATTAGCAGATAACATATATTTTGTTCTTATTTATTTTTATGATAGTTGTTGAACATTTATTAGGTAGTTATCTTGTCTTTCCATAGGCCTGATATCTTTTCCCGCCGAAATGTAGGCACAAAATAAAATAAATAATCTTTTATTTTATTTGTATTTCTCACTGATTTCTTCAACTCCTAACTTCCTAACTACATCATCATCATCATGTGTGGCACGACATCCCGTTACCGAGACTGGGCCTCCTCCAAGAGCCTCCGCCGGTTGGCTCTGTCTTCTGCTGCAGCTCTCCAGTTCCGTACACCAAGCAGGGTTCTCGCATCATAGGCCACGTTGTCCAACCACCTCGTCCTCGGCCTTCCTACCCGTCTTGCGAGGTGCAGCTCCTCCATCATTATTTTCTTGGGTATCTCAACGGTGCTCATTCTGGCCACATGCCCTGCCCACCTTAGTCTGGCCAGTTTAATATAGGTGACTACGTCGATGTCTGCATAGAGAGAACTGAGCTCCCTATTTTTTCTTTTCCTCCAGACATCACCCTCCTTTACTGGACCATAAATCCTTCTGAGGACTCCTCGCTCAAACACACTCAGCTTCATCTCATCGTTTTTGGTCATCGTCCAAGCCTCTGAGCCATATGTCAAAACAGGCCGAACAAGAGTCTTGTATATGATCAGCTTGGTCTTCTTTGAGAGGTACCTACTTCTTAAGTGTCGGCCAAGTCCAAAGACACATCTATTGGCAGCCGTGATCCTTCTTTGTATTTCTTGAGCCATGTCATTTTTGCTATTAATTTCAGACCCAAGGTATATAAAACTTTTCACTCTCTCAAACTTAAAAGAACCTACCTCAAATGGAGAGTTCAGATCCACCTCACCACCAACTCTCATATACTTAGTTTTCCTCTCGTTGACTTCTAGACCAAGTAGTCTTGCAGCTGCATCAAGGCCTATAAACGCTTCTCTGAGAGCCTGTTCAGACCTACCTATTATGTCAATATCATCAGCAAAACCAAGAAGCTGTGTCAGGCGATTGAAGATTATATCGTTGGTCTGAATACCGGAGACTCTTACAGCTTTCTCCTCTGCCAAGTTGAACAATAGACAGGCGAGGGCATCCCCTTGCCTAACCCCACTGCTCACTTTAAACTCTTCGGAGTCGTCAGAACCGACGCGTATTATACATCTCGAGCTGTCCATGGTCATCTTGATTAGGCGTACGAGCTTCTGAGGGATGCTTAGCTCCTCCAAGGCACAGTATAGTTGCGTTCTATCAACGCTGTCGTATGCTGCTTTAAAGTCTAGGAATAAATGGTGGGTGACTACCTTATGCTCCATAGTCTTTTCTAGGATCATCCTCAGAGAGAACAGTTGATCAGTGGTTGAGCGTCCTCTTCGAAATCCAGCCTGATATTTCCCCAGTTCCTTTTCAGAATACGGGAGAATCCTCTCAAAAAGAATGTTAGAGAGCAGCTTATAAGCACACGAAAGGAGTGAGATTCCTCGATAGTTAGCGCATTCTGTTTGATCTCCTTTCTTATGTATTGGGCAGATAATGGCTGTTGCCCATTCCGTAGGCATAGCTTCCCTCTCCCAGATGTTCAGCATTAAAACATGCAGAGCTTTCTTAAGTTCTTCACCTCCACATTTCAACAGCTCTGACTGGATTCCGTCCGAGCATGGCGCCTTTCCATTTTTCAATTTCATCAGGGTCCTAACTACATTATCTGCAGTCAAATATTTCATAAGCAATTTTAAAAATAATGTAAAAATCACCTGTCAAGTAATAGTATAACATTAAAATAAAAATATTTTTTGTAATGGGTATTTATAAACTAAATCACAAGCAGGTTAAAAAAATAGAAAAGTTAATTTAGACATATATTTTTTAACTCTAACATATATATATATATAATATATATAAATATATATATTATATTATTATGCATATTTATATGTTTTTTAGACATAATATTTTGATGTTAACAAAACTATTTCGCAAGAGTTTATTAAATAAATGTCATCTTATATAAAGTTGAAAAATATACAATCCATATGTAATTACATTTAGAGATATAGAATAGTAATTAAAGAAATAAAATAGTAATATATGACAACGAAGAGATAGTTAATAATGAAGGCAAGTTTAAATAAAGAAAGAAATATTTTCACCGACTACTAAATACAACTCGTCTACGTATTTCAAAAGAAAACTGGAAACGTTATTTTATTTTTTTTCTTCCCTTTTTTCGCCTTTTAGGCTATACGGGGTTTTCCCGGGTCCCGGAATTTATTCAGGGAAGGGTTTAGGCAGGGAATTAATACTAGAGTGCAAAGTCTCTCTGGCACCGGTACGCGAACTCGTAATTATTTTTTCATATCATCTTCTACTAGGTTGCCGGGCAGTGCGTAATTTCACACGCTCGGCTACCCCGTCCATCCACGCTTGATGAAAGCCTGGAACTTAGGCCGAAAAGTCTGCACAATATATATATATATATATATATATATATATATATATATATATATATATATATATATATATATATATATTAAAACAATATATATATATATATATATATATATATATATTGTTTTAATTAGTGTTTCTCATTGACTGCAACCCCATACTAACTTACTAACCATATTTCTAAATTACCTGGAATCCTCATACTAGACTTAAAAGACAAGAAACTTCCAACAGATTCCGACTACTACAACACTTACTTGTCAAAAACGCTCTTAACTTTTTACAAAAACTCATTTTCACTACCATCATGAGGCCCATTTGGACATACGGTATTGAGTTTTGGGGCTCTACAATAACATCAAATTCTTCCCGTATCCAATCCTTACAATCCTAAATCCTCCGAAAAATCCTAAATGCTCCTTATTATGTAAGAAATAGAATTATCCATAAAGGCCTCAACATTGCTCTTGTGGAAGACTTGGCCGGAACTAGAAATACCTCTTTTCATTCAAAACTCTTTGGTCACCCCAATCCTCTAGTTTGTAACTTTTCATCCAACATGATTCCTGACAACCCTCCGAGGCGTCTGAAAAGATGATTGCCAAGAGACCTCCTAAATTAATTTATCTTTGAAGTGTTACCAGTGGGTAGGTTCACAAGTACCTTCGTGTTACATGTTCCTATAGCAGATTTACTGACTGTATATATGTTTAAAGTTGTAAATTTTAATAAAATATATATATTTCTAAAATTATATTGGTAAGTATTTCTTCCCATTTTCTCCCATAAATCTCGTTTGATATGAAAAGCTCTGTTGTGCTAGGTGTAATGTTTTAATTAACTTAATTCAATAAAAGTGTTTTTAAATGTTATTGTGTATTTTTTTTATTTATCTATTAAATTTTGATAAAATTCATCCAAATTTGCTAGCCGTGGTACGGAATGCAATAATGGAATGCATGGCACGTACGGGTACCTACAAATCAGATCTAGCAGCCGTGGGCAGGTTAACATTCATGACCATTAGCTGTTACCTACCTAATTACCTGAAATTTATAGGCATTTAATTCCCTTTCTATTCCATAGGCACCGCTTGGCTAATCAAGTTGCCCTTATATCAATTTGACCAATTCATACTTCATTGTATCAATTATATTGATAGTTGATTCACTTTCCCCATTATTCAATCAAGATGATGATTCATGGCCAAAAAGCATTATTTCAAATTTCATTTATTATGATAATCTTCTACTAGTGAGAACTCTCTCTAATATTTTCAACGTATAAATGGCATGAACAAAACATGTTTATCTGTGTATATTATATAATATTATCAAGATATTATATTCAATATATTCAATAGACAAACCTTCATGCTTGAAAGTAACTTTGATAATGAAATTCTTAAAAATTTAAAGACATATGTGTGAATGTGTTTTATTTATTTTATTATCAATCGGTTTTAATCTGTTATTTTATTTATCTTGTACATACACACACATATGTATATATATATATATATATATATATATATATATATATATATATATATATTTCTACTTTGGTTATTTAGATTTATTTTCCTTTATTATGTACATATTGTGTGAATGAATACTATCGGCCTAGAACCAATGCCCTTCAGTGTGGCAGACTGTTTTAAAACTTAATAAAACCATCAAAACAAAACAAAACAACATTTTTTTTATTATTATTATTTATATGATATTTACAACTATATAAAAAAGAATACATTCGCACAGTTAATTCGTGCATGGATATAATGACATGAAACACTTGTAGAGAAACTACCCATTGGTAGCACTCTAATAATATGTCTATATTAGGGGATCACGGGGCCATCTTCTTTTCTCTGACGCCTCTAGGAGGGTTATCAGGAATTAAATCGGAAGTAATGTTAGAAACAAGAGGGTTGGGATGGTTATGAAGTTTATTATGGAAGGATAGATATCTGGTTTGGGCCAAATCTGATACACAAGGAACATTAAGGTCATTGTGGATGATTTTAATTGTAACAAAGTAAGGAGAATTGAGGATTTTACGAAGGATTTTGGATTGGATACGAAAGAAATTTGAAGGTTTGGTAGTGCCCCATAGCTAAAAAATTTTTTTTGAAATACACTGTAATACTTGAGACTTACTAGCGTTCAGATATTGTGTTAGTAGCTGATAGGGATGTTTTATATTACCTGTTCTACAATGAGCGTCTGATTGATTCACTTTCAAATCCGATTTATTTTCCACCGGGCGCAGAGAGGATAACATTCCCATAAAATTTCGACTTAAAATAATTTGGAATCCAGTATTTAATTTTTGGAGAAATGCTAGATTCTACTTTCGGTATTATTCAATTTATTTATTGATTTTTAATAATAGTGAAATTACTACAATCCACTTCAAATCCATACCTAAAGGGATACCAAAGGGATGAAGTATGAGGGGGGATTCAAGTCAAAACAATAACGATAAATGCCTCTCTAACAAAACAGAGTATTCTAGGAAGCCACTTTTTTATTGTTGTACGATACTTCAGACAAGTTATATTCCAAGAATATTCCCCACTTGTGTTTACTTCTTCCTTTTGTAACGTTCGAACCGTTTATGAATTATTTATATTTCGCGTACTTTTTTTCCTTAAATTATTTTTTTTTTTAACTTTTATTATGAAATTTACAACTGTATTAGTATGAATACATCAAGTAAAAGTGTACAGAGAAATATAATCACATGAAAAACGCTTGTTGAGAACTACCCATTGGTAGCACTCGGAAACATATAGGACATTGAGGTCTTTATGGATTATTTTATTTGTGACATAGTAAGGAGCATTGAGGATTTTACGAAGGATTATGGATTGTAAAGATTGGATACGAGAGGAATTTGATGGTATAGTGGAGCCCCATAGCTCAACTCCATAAGTCCAAATAGGTCTTATTATAGTCATGTAAATGAGTCTTTTGTAATTAATTGTAAGGTTAGAGCGTTTGTCTAGTAAGTGTTGAAGTAGTCGGAATGTCGAGCTGTTCCTTGTCGTTTCAGTCTGGTCTAGACACAGAGTGTAATTTTCAGGCAGATACAAAAGGGCTAAACAGTACATATGCAAATATCATCACTAAATTGGAATTCTAATTAAACAATATATTTAATAGTTGAAGTAATGTTCCTTAATGGGTACATAGTAGAAATAAGAACATAATACAACGTAATATCCCAACCACACTTACATAGGGACTGTAATCCAATTCACACACACACACACACACACACACACACACACGCACGCACGCACGCACACACGCTAACACGCACACACACACACACACACACACACACACACACACACACACACACACACACACACACACACACATATATATATATATATATATATATATATATATTTAATTATAAATCATATATATATTTAATTATAAATCGAATAAAATGTGCAATAACATGGAAACCCGGTCTCAACTGATGGTCAATTAGAGTTTACTGTATTCAGACCTATCAGCTGCTAACTTCTTGATCTGAAGGCTTTATTTCTTATTCATTATTTTTTTTTTAATAACTAAATTCAAAGCATTCTACCCGTTCCTTGTCTGCTCTTCTTGCCCAATCTAGGATCTTTACACTAGAATCGTCTGTATATACCTTTTGAAAAATTAATAGGCGGAGCTTCCCTTGCAAGCTGATCGGCTTTCTCCCTACAATTCCTTTGTGACCACGGAACTACAATAATATTTATTTCTCAGAAGGTAATGATTTCGAGCCCTTTACAGTCCCTTCCTAGTATATATGTCAATTTAAGGACCTCCGAGGGCTTGAAGAAATTAACGACTATCGCAGTATATTTTACTTCACAGGTAATAACTCCACAACATCTGGCCACGGGCGGATCCACGGGGGTGGGGGCTTTCGGACTGAACCTCCTTCCTCCCCCCCCTCCCCCGGATAGTAAAATATAACCATATCTTATGAGAAAAATATTTAATAATTACCTTAAAAATATTGTTGTTCGTGTAAATACATTTAATAGTACTTGAAGAATCACTTAAACTCTATTGCATATGGGTAGTTAATTCATTTATTTTTCTTCGTAAGTAATTATGGTTATATATTTTTAAAAATAATCTTTCGGGATGAAGCCCCTCCCAAAACTAAATCCTGGATCCGCTAGTGCATCTTGCTCATTCAGTGGAACAATGGGGTAAACACAAATCAATCAATTTTATAATAGAGAAAAAAAAACTGAAGAGAAATAGTTAAAGTTATTATTATTATATAAATTACATAGTTTTCAAAATCAGTGTAAAATTTTTCTATCCATTCATTTTTTTCTTAAATAATACTATGAATATTATATTATATTATTTATTATAATAACTATATTATATTTCTTATATACTTTGAAGTCGGTTCGATTAAATTCCTACCCATCCATCGCGCCATATAATTACCTCTTGTGTCGTTCTTCTCAAAATACATGCTCAAACAGCACGAATTCTAAGTGAAATACAAAGGAAAAATAGTAAAATAAATATGCATATGTTCAAGTATAAATTATCATGAATCAACCACATATCAGCGTCATTCTTTCTTCTTGGAAAAGCTTAATATATTCCATAATTTCCACTCCTAGTTGTAAGATATTAGTAATATATTGTTTCATTCCATAAAACACGTCTGTCTAACAATTATGGCGTGAAAAACGTTTCTCCAAAATTTTACAATTATATCGTTGTTCCAACGTTTCAGGAATATGGCAAATTTCTCATCTGAGAATTTAGTAGAGGGAAATATTTAATGGAGCGACAGTAGATCTACAAAAAAGTTTATAACAATAGCCCGCTTTTCAACAGGAAAGTAGGAAATAAAACTTTTGTGATTTTTCAAGTGTCACTTTTTTTTTAATAGCAAACAATGACTAAAAAAACAACCAATCAATTTAAGTAATTAAAAATTAGTTCTCTGTACACTAGAGAAAATTTACTTCAAACGAAAGCAGAATTCGTCATTGTTAAAAGCATTTAAAGAGGACTTTTAAGCGGAAAAACTACGCTAACTTCTGTTTTTTTTAAATATAAAGAATTATTTGCGATTTTTTTTTTATCACCCTGCGGCCATACTACAAATACCCCACTTTGAGGAAAACTTCCTTGTCTAATAAGCATTAAGTCCATAATAATTGAGTAGAGGGTTGATCACAAAATAAGTTGAGATTCACCGGAAGTTGTGTAAAAAATGTTTCGATAACCTGTCTCTTAAAAATACCGGTATTTTAAGAGAAAATGACTAGATAAATTATTACAAAATTTTGATTTATTTATTTGTCCGTGATCTTGAATGAATTATAATAAACATAACCGCATAAATACATCTAAAGAGATAAACATAATAACATCTAAAGAGATAATGTAACTGTGATTTTTACCCAGTTTTATATTATATGAAATAAATGTATTTAAAAATGACAATCTAAATGTTTCGGTCATAATATATTTTTTTTTTTTTTATTCACTGATACTTACAACTGTATTATAAAAAAGAAATACAACTACTAAATGTGCACACAGTAATAATATAGTAACATGAAAACGCTTGTTGAGAAACTACCCATTGGTAGCACTCTAATAATATATTTACATAAGTAGATCACGAGGCCATCTTCTTTTCAGACGCCTCGGAGGGTTATCAGGGATCGAGGAGGAAGCAAATTTGAAACGAGAGGGTTCGGATGGTTCTGGAGTTTGTTATGAAAGTATAGGTATCTGGATTGGGCCAAATCGGAAACATATGGCACATTAAGGTCTTTATGGATGATTTTATTTGTGACAAAGTAAGGAGCGTTGAGGATTTTACGAAGGATTTTGGATTGGACACGAGAGGAATTCGATGGTTTAGTATCATAATATTTAAGTTCATAATAAAGAAACTTGACGATTTCTTTAATTATTTTCATGAATACGTAAAATTAGGGTTAGGAGCATTTATTTCTTCAGTTATAAATA